CAATATTGATTTTAAATTCTAAATCTTATTATGATGTCCTTAAATTTTGGGGTGTCACGCTACTAGCCTCCAAACTTTGGATGCCAAACGAGGGCTTAATAAATAACTACTGCAAGTAATGCCTCTTTTGAGAAGTACAAAACAAAGTCAATTTATTAACTTCTGTCTTAATTAGGTCATATCACCCTTTCACCTTTTACTTTTTTATATTTTTTCATAGGGTAAATTACAAATACACCTCCTAAGGTTTGATTAAAATACGAATCGTCCTCTATAGTTCTGGAAATTAAATTTCACCTCTTAAGATTTCCAATTTCATAACCAATCACTCATTTTATTAATAAATCATCAAGTCAATTAACAATTTTTAATGATGTTAGAAATACGTTTCAATTAATAATTTAGATAATTTTATTCATGTATGGGAGAGAAATTATGAATTTTATTTTTTTAGTTAATTATGTTAAATAAAAAATTCTAATAAGGAGGTATTTGTAATTTTCCAAAGCATAGGGGCAATATGTAATTTAAGCAAACCCCAGGAGGTGTACTTGTAATTTATCCTTTTTCATAATGAATAAAAAAAGAGGGTTGCTAAATGCCCCTACTTTTCTACTTTGGATCCCCCACTTCTTTTGCCCCCTACCACCAAAATTGTTTCTCTCTTTATTTTTCTTTGGACCCCTACCATAATCTCAAATATACCCTTTGAACCCCACTCCTACACCTTCCATCTTTAACTCATCCTTTCTTTCTCCGGCAGTCCTCATCCCACTCCGGCGACCTTCTCTCTCCGGCAACCTACTTAGATAGCGGCAATAGCAACAGAGCAACTGTTTATTTCCTCGGAGTATCAGACAAATGCAAACTATGTTTCAAGGAATGTAACAACGTTAGAAGTGTAATGAACCCAAGTTCGAAGGGTGATTCCTTCATTGTAGAAAATCACATTGATGAATGATCAATGATGAATAACCAGTTCGAAAAACCTATCTTTTTGCCTTCGCGACCACTCTCGTCGCTGTTCAAAAAACTAGTTCCGAACAAAAGGCTGATGTTCGGTACTATGTAGTCGAACAAAAAGCATATGTTCGGTTGTGGAGCACCGAACATATTCAACATGTTCGGCTCTATGTAATTGAACGAAGAGAAATCGACCAACTTATGAGATAGAGAGAAATTGACGAGGTGAGAGAGAATCACGTACAAAAGAGAGAAAATAGAGTAGGTTCCGAATGATGAAGATGAAGATTGCGAAAGAGAGTTTGCGAATATATAGCTCATTCTCCTCCTCTGCCGCCGTCAAAACCCTAACCTTTGCTGCCATTGATAGTTTTGTGAACAACAGGTGAAGGCGAGAGGCTTGCTGAATGAGGAAAATAATAGAGGTGGGTTGGTTACTAGTGGAAGTGGAAGTGATGGTGGGATTAGGGTTAGGCTTAGACTTGGAAGAATAAGATGAGGACAAAATTAAAATTTGATGTTAGGACAAAATTGTAATAAAATAAAGTATAAAAAATGGGAGGTCCAAAGTAGAAATGTAGGGGCATTTAGTAGGGGAGATTCTATTTACACACATCACATTGTCTTTGTACACATCTTTTCTCACTCCACACACATAGTAATTTGATTCTTAAGTATTTATCTCAGTCCACACACCCCACATTCCAAATATACCCATTTAATAAAAAATATGTGCACACCCTCATATTAGCCTACATAAATTCCCAAAATAGCCAAAATAGCCCTCCCTTCACATCCCACCCTCCACTCTGCATGATCCAGGCTCTGCATCATCGTCCAACCTCTCCATCTCCAATCTGCATTCTCCGGTAGCCTATAGCCTCCAGCCTCCTCTATTGAAGATCGACATTGAAGAAGATCGATAGGCATCTTCGGCAGCCATTCTCCGGCCGTAAATTACTTATAAGGTGAGTGAATATTGCCCATCATTATATAAAATAACATGCAATCTATTAGTTTTTTTCTATTTTCGATAGTCGTTCGCAGTTGGCACACACAGAGACAAAAAACAACCATTCGGTACCAGTTTGTCGAATCATTTTAACCCATTCAGAATCCAACAATCGAATTACTTTAGACCATTTAATACTGTACTTCTGAATTTTAACTTTTAATTCGGTACTGTACTTCTGAAACTATTATTCATATTCAATTGTTGTTTTTCGTATACTGTTTATGTATTCGGCACTGGTTTGCCGAATGGTAATCACGAACAAAAATTACGTAAAACAATTTCTTAGCAAAAAAAGTCACATTTTCGTCGCTGCATTGATTGTTTTGCATATCCTCCTGGTTTTCTGAATTGTTTGGCAAATCTTCCACCAAGTTTTGTTTTACAAACAATGGTAACCTAATGAGTGAACATTGGAAAGATGTTAGCAATGGAGTCTAGTGTGTCAGAAATAATGGAAAAAGAAGGTAGACAATGAAGTGTGTGAGAAAGAATGAAGGAAGAAGGTATGCAATAAAATGTAAGAAAGAGTAGAGGAAAAATGTAGCAATGAAGAGTGAAAAAATAGCGGAGTGTGTGAGAATGAGTGTGAATAACATAGGCAATGGACAGTGGATGTGCACAGAGAGCTTTTACAAGAAAAAGATGTGTACAGAGATCTCTATTTTGGATGTTTAAGTGTGTGGATGGATGTCTATTTTGATCATTTTATTTAAAGATAAATTTGTAATAAAAATAAAATTCATTAAGTGTGTACACATAAACAATGTGGTGTGTGGAAATAGAATTTTTCATTTAGCAGCCTCTAAAAAAGATGGGGCACTTACCAATAAGTCTCATACATAAAGTTTAAAATCCATTTAATCCCAAATCAAAATACTTGTACCAATTAGTCCTACATATTTTTAACTGTTACTAAAAACTCTTTTATTTTTATAACTTTAAAAATGCTGCTACATCCAACGACTTCCGTCAGACTCATCGAAGACTTGCCAGAATATTCAACGTCACCAGGAAGTCGCTGGAGCATCACTAGAAGTTCACCGGAGTATTTTGAGCATCGCTAGAAGTTTGCTAAAGTGTTCTGAACGTGACTGAAAAATGTCAAGAATATCATCGGAGACTCACTGGAATATTCAGAATATTGCCCGAAATAAATAAATGAAGAAATTATAGTTAAAAAAACATAACAACAACAAATAACAATGGAAAAAAGTATATATTATTTTTCAATTTTTGTAGAGTTTAAGCAAATAATCTATAATATTGATCAAATTGAAAAGTAAGCTTTGAAACTGTAAAATGTTACAGTGTCAAAGCATTATTCTATTAAGCTGGAAAACATGTTATGAAACACAGTTTTAAAGAATGTTATGAAACTGTAAAATTTTGTAATTTTAAAGCATGATTCATTTTAGCACCAAAAAAGCTGAACTGTAAAATTTTACAATTTTCACCTCTTGTGACTAAAACTTAAAAACAACTTATTTAGAACTTGAAATTTTTTTCCATTAAAAAAGAAAAATAGATGTGTGTAGCAGAGAAAATGTAGAAAAATTGAGAAATCGAAAAATCGAAGGAAAGAATAGATATAGAAAGAATATTGTACTCTGGCAACTATTTTTGGTTTAGATCTAGTCGAATCTTATGTAAATCTACTCAAATCTAATGTAGATCTCATCTTCTTTGTCATTGTTGAGAATAAAGTCACGAGTTGATGGCGGTGATTGGTGATTGCTGATGAATCCCAATTAATGGTAGGTGTCGGTTACCGATGACTATATTAAAAACAGAAAAAAAATAAGAAAAGTGTGATTATCGATCTTCAGACATGATAAAGAGAAGAAAAAGAAAACACAAAAAAAAGTAAAGAGAGAAAAACGTAAAGAACAAGACAAACAAAAGAGGGAGAAAGAGAGAAAAACGTATAAGACTTTTGAGTCTGGTCAAAAAAATTGTTGGGTTAAACAATATGAACATATTTTTGTTGAATTTGGATCCTCGGCCGCCCTTTTGGGCAGCTGTTCCCACCAGCCCCCAAAACGACGTCGTTTTGGGGGCTTTTTCGTTTTTTTTTTTTTTTTTTTTTTTTTCCCGGAGTTTAAGCAAATAATCTATAATATTGATCAAATTGAAAAGTAAGCTTTGAAACTGTAAAATGTTACAGTTTCAAAGCATTATTCTATTAAGCTGGAAAACATGTTATGAAACACAATTTTAAAGAATGTTATGAAACTGTAAAATTTTGTAATTTTAAAGCATGATTTATTTTAGCACCAAAAATGCTGAAACTGTAAAATTTTACAATTTTCACCTCTTGTGACTAAAACTTAAAAACAACTTATTTAGAACTTGAAATTTTTCTCCATTAAAAAAGAAAAATAGATGTGTGTAGCAGAGAAAATGTAGAAAAATTGAAAAATCGAAAAATCGAAGGAAAGAATAGATATAGAAAGAATATTGTACTCTGGCAACTATTTTTGGTTTAGATCTAGTCGAATCTCATGTAAATCTACTCAAATCTAATGTAGATCTCATTTTCTTCGTCGTTGTTGAGGATGAAGTCACGAGTTGATGGCGGTGGTTGGTGATTGCTGATGAATCCCAATTAATAGTGGGTGTCGGTTACCGATGACTATATTAAAAATAGAAAAAAAATAAAAAAAGTATGATTATCGATCTTCAGACATGATAAAGAGAAGAAAAAGAAAACATAGAAAAAGTAAAGAGAGAAAAACGTAAAGAACAAGACAAAAAAAAGAGAGAGAGAAAAACGTATAAGACTTTTGAGTCTGGTAAAAAAAAATTGTTGGGTCAAACAATATGAACATATTTTTGTTGGATTAAAATAATTTATACATGAGCTGCGGGTAATTTCCAAAAGGGTCATGCTACACCCCTAAAAAAAACCCCTAATCCTCTAATTTCCATATCAAGTAAAAAAAAAAAAAGAAAAAGTTGTCAAAAATGGAAGTTGCCAAAAATGAAAATTAGGGGGATTAGGGGATGATTTTAGGGTTCCAAATCATTTCCCTTTCCAAAAATAAAATCACTTCTTTTTGTCTTATAACTATTTTAGTCCCAAGAACATCCCAAGCGAGTTCGTGATTGTTCGATCAATCGAAGAAGAAGAGCTAACAAACGTTGTTGGTCAGAGTAGTCGAAGGAAGGAAGGAAGAAGAACAATGTCGGGTATGGGAGACGGGTACGTGGGCACGGCCCAAGACGCAGTGAGGATCCGAAGGCTGGAGAAGCAGAGAGAAGCTGAGAGGCGAAAAATTCAGGAGCTCAAGAACAAGACTGCTTCTACCAAAGGCCAACCGGGTCTCCTCCAATTCGGTTCGGGTACCTCCGAGGTCCGCATTCCCCAACCCCCTATTCTATTCTATTCTATTCTTTCCTAGGGTTTCTCTCAGTTCCCCAATCTAGGGTTTCTTATGGTTTCTATCTAGTTTTGTTTAGTGTTTTTTCATTTACTTGCGTGTTTGTTTGCTGAGAAAAATAGATTAGAAATCAGAGTCGTAACATCATGTTTTGTTGTAAGTGCAAAAAACTCATATGATCATTTTGTTTCATAAAAATAAGATTGTGAACTGCATGATTAAATTCAAAATCTGAAAATTGAAATGAAAAAGTTGATAGATTTGAAGAAGAAGAAGAAAAAGAAAAAGAAAACCCTGAATTTAGGGCATAAATGCCAATGTAACTGCTATAGGGTATTGTGGAAAAACTTCAAAAGTGAGACATAAACACCAACTGCTGCCTTCACTTTATAATAGTATAGAAGAAAGATAGATAGATATATAGATAGTTTTTTTGGCAAGTTGAATTTAATTTCACAAAACAAACACATAAACACAACACATATTTCACAAACTGCTAGGCTGTAAACGAGCCATGTAGTAAATTGTTAAGGATTGGCTTGAAAACTTAATGAGCAGAGGCGGAACCAAAATTGTCACCCGATGGGGGCCAAAATTTGAGTATTCTCATTCACATATTCTTTTGATATATATTCTTTTCACTACAGAACAGCTTCCCCAAACCTCTTACATAAAGGCTCCAAGGGGTGCCAATTGGGAAGCCAAAGAAAGTTAATAGTCCATTGCCATATGTGGTCTACCCAATCTCTCTAAGCTTAAGTATTTTCCTAACAGACGAAGATGCATCTCTAGGAATAGACATAGACCACAAACAATTATGCTTTATCACATAAGTGTGAATCCATTTAACCCTTAAGGCGCCTGCCTTCATGCTAGTTGCCCACAAATGCATAAGCATGGTGGTCTTATTTTAATCTTTCAATGTTCTAAATCCCAGCCTTCCTGTTTTCGGCACACACACTGCTTCCCAAGTAATTTTGGCCTTATAATGATTTAACTATGCCCTAACAGTAAGAACGACTTCATCATACTTCCAATTTCTTTCAGTATTTTCCGAGGCAGAATAAAAATGGAGCTCCAATAAACTGGAACAGTGAAAAGTACAGACTGAATCAATGGGGCGCTTCTTCCCTATGACATCAGCTTGTTTGCCCATATCTGTATTTTGCTTAGACTTATGTTTTTAAGATGCAAACCGTCTTCAGCTCTAAGCCTACTAGAAACAAGAGTGTCCCCCAAGTGCTTGACTTGGAAATGGCCTTCAGGTATCCTTCTTCACACACGCATCCACTCCAGTGAACAGTGAAGAACACAACACTTCTCTGCTTATCTGGTTTATAACTAGAAAAACTATGAAACTCCTTAAAAGCACTACTTATTACTGTAAATGATTTCTTATCAGCTCTACAAAGAAGGAAGAGATCATTTGCAAAATCTAACTGAGGTAGCTTTAGAATTTGGCACATAGGATGATAAGTAAAAGCCCTCTTAGTGGTCATTCCTTGAAATGTAGCAGCAAAGTTTTCCATAAACAAGAGGAAAAGATAAGGGGAGATGGGGTTCACTTGCGTAGCTATCTTTTCCCAAGAAAATAGTCATTTATCATAATTGAGAATATCACAGAAATAATGCAATACTTGACCCAATTTATGAACTGACATAGAAAATCAATTGCCTCCATGATATCAAATAGAAAGCCTCAATCTACTGAATCATAGGCTTTCATAAAATATTAATTTTGATTGCACACCTAGGAGGGCCTTCATCTCTATGGTAATTTCTCACTAATTCTTGCATCACTGAGAATCCACAATGGATCTACACGCCATAAAGGCTGATTGAGTCTGATTAATCAAAATTGGAAGCACAATATGTAGTCTGCTAGATAAGATCTCTGTTATACACTTGTAAGTGAGAAGTATTCTCAAGCTTTATGAAGTACAGGTTGATTTTTCTTGTATACTAAACGAGATAGGATGCAAAGTTCTTTTTTATTTTGTTTCTTCCCTTCTCACACTCTTTAGTTTTTGTTTTTTGTTTTTTCCCCCTTAAAGAATGTAAAAGATTTAACATTATGTTCTGATTGTCGATGTATTTGGTTGTTGAATTTGTTCTTCAGATTCTAGAGACTGCGTTCAAGAAGGAAACTGTTGGTCTGGTTACTAGGGAGCAATATGTTGAGAAGGTAATCTATAATGTATACCCACACAGTTTTAATTGTTTACTGATTAAACCATTGTACTTAACTGAGGCTGGTGTTGTCATCTCCTTTATATATATATATATCATAGAGAGTCAATATCAGGACCAAAATTGAAGAAGAAGAGAAGGAGAAACTTCTGAAGCTTCAGCAAGAGTGAGTAAAAGCGTACAGCATTCATAAATTATGTGGTACTTTTGTGTCCTTATGTTGTTTTTGATACAACCCCCCCCCACATTCTGTAGGGAGGAGGAGCTTCAAGCACAAAAGAGGCAAAAGCGGAAGATAAGGGGGAACCCTCGATTATCTTTTTCTGAGGATATTGAAAATGGAAGCGAAGAGGATGTTGAAAACAGTGAGGGTAATTCAACTTCATTTTGTCTTCCCTACTTGAAGTGGTTTAATTTAAATAATAAGATAGCTCTGTGTATTATGCACAATATGTTTAGAGTTGAGACTTTTGTAGCTTGAATGAATTTATGATTTTAGCTGTACTTTTGACTATTACTATGGCTGTGCCATGTATAGGTCTGCAAAAGAGCCAAGCTGAGTTGAGTAATGTTGGCTTCATTTTGAACTGTTCAAGTTCAGTTCAAGCTCAAATGGAGCTGCAACAACTTAGCTTGAACTCGGGTCATTAGATTTAAATAAGCTTGAGCTAGCTCGATTGTAGAAGGCTCATTCTTTTAATTTTTCAAACATCTCAACTTAGCCTTGAGGGATGAGTACAATATTATCAACATGGGTAATCACCCTAACACGATGTCATCTGGATATGTGTCATTTGACAACCATGATTTCTATTTTGTATTCATATTGTAAGGATTACATTAGGACAGGCAGAGATTTGGACCTATGATCTGAATTTGTGGCATAATTTAATTTGTAGAGCCTAGCAATCTATGAAGCACGGGTGCCGGTACGGGTACGAGTGCGGGTACGCTGATACGTTAAAAAAAATATGATACGAGTACGGTTGCGGTACACCGATAATTTTTATTTTTATTTTTATAATTATGGTTAAAAAATTCAACCTACAAATTAAAATTTCATATCAAAACTAAAAAGAGAATTACAAAACTAAATATAATTTCCAAATGGTCATAACTAATATCATTTTAAAAATAAAAAATTTAAATTAAAATAATTAAAAGTTTAAAGTTTGATTTATCATTAAAATGAAATTTTAAATTATTATTATTTTTTTATAATTTTTTTTTCCTTTAAAAGGATAAGTCGATGTATAATTATATGATACTATAATTATACTGTAGAGAGAGAGAGAGAGAGCGCAAATCAAAGCAAATCAACCCAACTCAACCCACCAGCACCGGACCATTCTGGAACGAGCACTTCGTCCTCCCCCTCTCCCTCCCTTTCCACGACTCCCTCCTCACCCTCGAAATCTTTCACTCCAAACCCTCCGAGACCCCCAAGCCCTTAGTCGGCTCTCTCCGTCTCACTCTCAAGGAACTCGCTGGCAGGGATGAGGATTTCAAAGGAAGAACTGAGATTGAAGATTACGATGCCCCAATAAACCTAGGTTTGTATATATTTTTAATATTACAAAATAACTCTCTATTTTTTGTTTTTTTTAATAAAGAACATAAATAAATTGCTCCGGTACCCCTGAATCTCTTTACAATTTGATTTTTTGCCCCGGCATACCCGAAACGTACCCATGGCGTACCCATGCCATACCCAAATGTACCAAACGTACTAGACCCCCTTTGGCCGTACCCGGTACACGTACCCGTACCGAGTACGTACCCGGTACTTGTACAGCACCATTTTTGGAGTACCCGTGCTTCATAGCTAGCAATTCTTCAGCTTAGTATGATACTTGCACAGTTAATATTTGTGATATTATAAAATCATTTTGAAGTGCACTGCTTGCTTTTGTGAACTGTATTCATTCTTCATATTGTCCATGGCCAACCTTCTTGTTCATCCCTTGACATCCCGCCCTAAACTTTTGTCATTTTGATGCTTAACTTATTGGAAAAACAAGACTTTATGGCCAAATTGTTGAATGTGGTATCCTCTAGAATCTTTTGGATGTAATAATGTATATTAAATACTCGGGTTGCATGCATGAATTTGGTACTTGTGCAACTTGTATAAGTTGAAGTGCAGAAATTTTTGTCCTTTGAATTAAATTAAAGCTATTCTTAGAAAAGAGGGAAAGAATTCATTGGTCTTGTATAATAAATTGAGCCATTTAAAAATATGTCGTTGTGCTTCTCAGTCTATGCCTCATATTCAATTTTGTGTTTCTTAAGTTTATTTCCTCTCAAGGCCTCCAGTACTAATTGTTGATGTTTCTGTTTTGAAATAGGTACTGACTAAAAGCTAAAGTTTTGTATTTTGTTAATTTAGAAAATCTTGATCATTGTTGAGTTTGAAGTTTGGTTTCATTTTTTTGTCTGGGTATGCTAAGGCACAGGAGATTAGTACATGTATTGCATTCTTTTCAATTGAAAAAAAAAAAAAAACACTGGACCTCGTCATCTTCTTCCTAATACTAAGATGCCAGTTTACTGTATCACTTTCCAGCAAATAAAGAACCAAAGAGGCTTGCTTGTGGAAAACTTGGCAAAGATCCTACTGTGGAAACTAGCTTTTTGCCTGACAGGTATGGTGTTTGTCTCTCTGTCTGTCTGTCTCTATCATCTTGTTTTCAGCTTAACATTATCCTTGGGGGTGTGAAGCACTCTTTCAGTGAGAGGGAGGCAGAGGAACAAGCTGAGCGTGAAAGGTTGCAAAAACAGTGGCAACGTGAGCAGGAACAGATTCGAAGTAATTCTACATTTCATTCCTGTAATTACCATGTAATCTCTGGATGAATTGTTTGTTGACTCTGTTTTTTTATATTTTTTTTAGACGAACCTCTTGAAATCACTTATAGTTACTGGGATGGAGCAGGCCATAGGCGAGTTCTCCAGGTAGCTATGGCTACTGCTGTATTTGACTGTTCTCTCTCTCCTCTATTCACTTTTTTGACCTTTTTCTTGGCACTTCTGCTGGTTTTGTTTTCAGGTTCGCAAAGGTGATACCATTGGAGAATTTCTCCGGGCTGTTCAGCAGCAACTTGCACCTGAGTTTCGAGAGATTCGAACTACTTCAGTGGAGAATCTGCTTTATGTGAAAGAAGATCTTATTATTCCTCATGTGAGATGATTTTAAGGGTTGGTTTGGGATGTCCTAAAAAAGTGCACTTTTTGACTTATTGGTGGGTTTGGGTTGGGTTTGGGTTGGGTTTGATGTGATGTGTTAGAGAGGTGATGTGATTTAAATAAGATGATGTGACTTAAATAAGATAGTGACTTTTTGACTTTTTGACTTATTTAGTACATGCCAAACTAGCCCTAAATTCCCTTGATTATTATATGTCTATTTTTTCCCATTGGATGTGTGCTAACTTTGCAATTGTGATCATGGGAGTTCAGCAACACAGTTTCTATGAGCTGATTGTTAACAAGGCAAGGGGGAAAAGTGGGCCGGTAATCCTCAACTTTCTGACTTCAATTTTCTTCTACATTTTAGTGACAAAGTGGAAGTGCAGAAAATAAACTGCAGTAGCTGTGTTTTCTTCAATATTATTTTATTTTGTGCAAAAATGGGAGAAATATTAAAAGGGACTCTTTCAATCAATGAAAATCTTTTTTGTGGTATTTTTTTCCCTTTGTACGTACTCATTTTCTCACTTGTCATGCAAGGAACCTAAGAAACAGCAGGTTACTAGTTTCCAGTGTCAGTTGATTTTTTTTTTTTTTTTTTGGCTTAGGGCTTGTTCTGATATGTTTTTTTCTGTTTTTCTCAGCTTTTCCACTTTGATGTACATGAGGATGTGCGAACAATTGCTGATGCAACGATAGAGAAAGATGAGGTATGGGGTTTCTACTGTTACTTTGATACTTATCTGCCAGAATCCTGCATATGTTGGAACAATTTGTTATTTTAATAATTAGAAAGAGTTGCTTCATAGTATGAGATGACAAATGAATTTCACTAAGTTCTTGTTTTATTGGATCTCACACTATGTATGCTTACACTCATGAATGCTCTGCACCTAGGTGCATTAATTTTGATGTTTCATACTTAAGCTTGGCTTGTCAAGCACCTAACTGCGGGTTCGTTTGGGAATTGGCTATTTTAGTGGTTTTTTATGAAAAGACGTGCAAAACAATAGAGAGAATGGGTTGACTTTTTGTATTGGCTTTTTAGCTAATTTAGTCTGTTCCCAAACAAAGGCCCTAGTTACATGGGCCTCTGCTTAGAGGCATATAATCTTTTGCTTTCAAGTGGGAAATTGCCAGTGAGAAGTCTTGACGATCTAATGCATTTCTGTTGCATGGAGGGTAAGGATGAAACTGTGGAACGTTCTAATTGTACAAGTAGTTGTTCTTGAAAGTTCTTTGAAATGTTAGCATTTGAAAATAACATGATAACCAAAATGTCTGAAAATCACCCATTACCTAGTATCAATGTCTTTGGTGGGATCAGTTACATGTAGTTCTCTACTAATAAAGAAACCATCTGAGAAGAAATAATGTGCGATTATGTATGTACATGTATATTTGTGTATGTTCCTGGCCAAGTCCTTGCATTGAGCATGCACATTTCAATGGTTCATTAACTCAAATGGTCATGTTTGTTTGCTACTACTTGTTTACAGTCACATGCTGGAAAAGTTGTTGAGAGACACTGGTATGAGAAGAACAAACACATCTTTCCTGCTTCAAGATGGGAGGTACTCTCTCTCTCTCTCTCTCTCTCTGTGTGCATGCATGCGTGCACTTGTCTTTTTTAAGCTACTATGCCAATGGGAATGTGAATTCCAATATCTAGTCTAGGGTAACAACAGTATGTGCTACCTGTTTTGTATGGGTAATTCTGTACGTGTTTCCTAAACAAATTCTTTCGCTTCTGATGATTTACATTCACTGTTTTCCCCTTTTTCTTTCCTTTAAATTATTGCAGATATATGACCCAACAAAGAAGTGGGAGCGGTATACTATCCACGGGGATTGATTAATCAAGGGCAACAACATATCACACAGTATTGCGACAGAATCTTCAGCCCTTGAGCAGATTATTGTATTTTCATGCATTTTTTGCTTTCTAGCTCAAGATATATGTACTTTATTACAAAATGCTTTTGTTTGTGGTCAGTCTCAACTATAAATTTATGTAGCATTTCTCTATTCAGATTACAGCTTCCGCAGGAGTTTATAGCATGAAAAAGCAGTACCTTAATTTGGGTCGATTTGTGATTCCTTAAGATTCATTTGTCTTGGTATTTAATTCCTCGCAAATATACTCAGTATGTAGTTTGATGACAGTCTGTTTTCCGAGATTGGGGTTCCTGTTGCACAGCGTGCTGTGCTTCAAACAGTTCTTTTGTAAGTTGTAAAACAAAAGAATTGAAATTGTGTCCTTTCCGAGCTTCTTGCTTGGCTTAAGAACACTTCTGTGGTTAAATATTATGCATTTATTGTGTAAACTTGAGGGTGATTTTGTTTGGTAATGAAATGTCCCGGAGTAATAATGCTAGGGTGATCACATGGTTTGACAAGTTTTACTTTTTATTAGAAGTAAATAAGGTTTTTTTTTTTTTAGTTTTTAGCATCGAAGTAAATAATGTGAATACTATATTCACCTTAATTTTAATCATTTCATTGATCATCTTATGCAATTGGATGTTTAATTACACCAGAGTAGCTAGACTCTTATTTTAAACCATTTGTTTGGGATCAAATCAGAGAATGACATTTCTGATGCTGTTTAGTGATCAATTATTATTGTAATTAAGAAATAAAATAATCTCTGGCCTGAAGTTATTAACATATTACCACAAAGTTCATTACATGGATTAACAAATGATTTTATGATCCTTTCAACAGCTATTGAATTGTTGACCAGAGTTCTGTATGGTACTAAAAAAAGATTTACAATAGGTTGATTTCATAGTTTATGAAATTTAAATAATTTAAATAAGTTAAAAGAAATAATTATTTAGAAATTGGGAATCGATACTTTTAATTTTTACATTTGGATTATCAATTTTCAATTTGGAAAAAATTATATGGGTAAATTACATCATTGTTCCCTCTAGTTTGAGTAAAATTTCATTTTGGTCATCATAGTTTCAATTTGAACAGTTTAGCCCTTACACTTTCAATTTAATTACAATGTAATCCCACCATTATGCATTGTTAAAATTTTAAACAGACAAAAATCACGTGCAAAAATAAAAGGATCAAAGTGAAATTCAAAACAAATTATAAAAATTTGTGTAATAAACATATTACAATGGTCTTTGTAGTTTGTTTTCAATTTCACTTTGATCCCTCTAGTTTTAGAGATGGTCTTTTTCCGTTTTAAATTCTAATAATAAGTGACAAATAGATTATATTGTAACAAAATTAGAAGCGTAGGGATTAAATTATTCAAATTGAAATTATAAAGACTAAAGTGACACTTCACTCAAATTATAAGGATTAATGGTATAATTTACCCAAATTATATCAAACAAACCCATTATATGTTAAAAATTGATAGTTGAACCGAAGCAAAAAATATTTCTTTTTCCGCTTCTCAATAACCAATATTTTTATTTTATTTAAATAATTTTTGCATCATATATAACAATATATAAACAGAAGTTGTACTAATTTTTTTTTAAGGGTGAATTATAAACACACTTCTTGAGATTTGTTTAAAATATAAATTGCCTATTATGATTCTAAAAATTATATTTCACTCTTTAAATTTCTAATTGCATAATAAATAACTTATTTTATTAACAAATTATTTAGTTAATTAATAATTTTTAATGACGAGCCCAAAGAAAGAGGATAGAGCATCTCTCTCCAGAGATTTTGCTGTGGTGTTCCGGGGAAGCTCTAGCGACACTTTGGCGATCTCCTTTACACTTTTAACATGTAGATATGCACTTCTAGAGTGTAGATCTGAGTTTTTTGTTTGTTTGTTTGTTTGTTTTTTTTGTTTTTTTTTAATGTTTGAAATAGGAATTTTGAGTGTTTTTCCTCCGATTTTGTCATAAAGTTTTAGATTTTCGACACCCACAATGGTTCCGTGTTCTTTCAAGTTTTCTTCCATATCATTGTGAATGTTCTTTCTCTTCAACTCTTGCGTTTGGGGGTATTCGAAGTACAATTGCGGAGTTAGACAGCAACGACGACGAGGATAATGTTGATGACGACAGCGGGTGTTGATGCAAATTTTGCTTGATTTGATGCAAATCTAATTTTTCAAACCACCTCTATGAGAACATCAGCGATTTTCCCTTTATTGTAATTGATTTTTTTGTCAATTTTGGTTTTGTTGTTTGTAATTTGTTATTTGATTATTTGTTTGGCCTTTTAAGATCTTATTCAGTGTGTTTGGTTTCAGTTTTTTGAATTTAATTTCTAAAAATTAAGTTTTTTATTTTTCATATTTTTTGTTCTTAGTGAATATTTGTTAAATTTTAAGCAATTTTTATTTTTATTTTTTTAGATGTACTTTACTTAGATGTATCTAAATAGTAAATTATTTGTGAAAAAATATTTTAAAAAATTAATAAATACACAAAAAAATGTACGAGAGAATTATTTATAAGTCATATTTAGGAGACTTATGTTACATATGGTTCTAAATTAAAACTTATATTCTCATAAGTCTTGTGAGAAGTTAGTTGACACATTTACCCTTAATAGTAGTTGTTAATATCATAAATAATATGAAAACCATGTATAGGAAATTGAATGTTATCATAGATCATATCCATATGGATGTGAATTTGAAATTCAAAATACACGTGATATGTGGAAATTACAGGTTCAGTTAAGCAAAATTTTAGGGAACAAAAAGAATTAGATATGTTTTGTGGCTCTACGCTAATGTGAACGGCTGATTCATTTGATAAAATTACGAAACCCACCACGAACAGGAGAAGGGCCGTGATTCGACCAACACGTTCGACGGGAAGGTGGTAACGAATATTGTTTCCGGTGAACAAGGAGGAATGATGGCTCCAAAACGTAAGTGTGGTTTTGCCCCATGTTTTGCAATGTTCATTCATTTGACTTTGATTAACAACTCAGAACTAGGGTTTATGTGAATATGGGGTTTTTGATAATTTCGGTTAACTGCAGCCATAATATGTAATGTTAGTTGTATGTTTTGTGAGGAATAAAGGATTTTATAGTTTTCGATTTGAAGATAGTATGTATGTGAGGGTTGTAGGATGGGGGTTCGGCGGGTTGTCCAATATGGGTGTTTTGTGCTTGATTCGTAGTTGTATTGCCTGGTATGTGGTCTATTTGTTTTTGTTTTTGTTTTTTTTTTTAACCATGCAAAGTATCGTGTTTGGTAGACTGTTTTTGGGGGTTTCTCGTTGTGATACGATGTCGTTTGGTTCTGCGCATTAACTTTGAAAAATAAATTGTTGGATGTGAATGGTGCCACATCTTTGTGTTATGTGTTGTACAGTTTATGAATGTGATTGTGACCCAATGTTAAATTACTATTTAATGTGAGTGGAAGCTCATGTAAGTTGGACTGTGTATAGTGCCACGTTATGGTACGATGTCATTTGGTTGTTTTCATTTAGAAATAAAAGTAAGTTGTCGAACGTGGCTGGTGCCATGCCCTATTTTGATGTACTTTAAGGTTTGTGAATGTGTCAAGATATTCGAGGGACACTGTTTGTAGATTGTGACATGGAGACGAACAATGCAAGTAACATGATTTGGGGGTGTGGTTGTGGTTTCATGTCACCATTTGAAGAGGTCACGCTCGTGTTCGTAGTGGTTTGGTTGTCAAGATTCTCGTAGCACATTTTCGTTTATTTTTTTTGTTCAGATTATTGCATCGGCATGTGTGACATTATTCATGGTTACGTCAAGTACTTCACTGTCATATTTGAAAGTGTGCCTGTGTATGTGGGTGCATAATTACTTCTTAATTTGTGAATTGTGTGAAGGTAATTTTCGTTATAATGTCAATTGGAATTCGTGGAGAGAATATTACATGTTTAACTTGTGAATGTGCAAGTAAATATTTAGGACAACGCTAGTTGATTGTCACAGTTAGTCGAATAATGCGCATAACATGACCTCGGGATGTGGTTGTGGTTTCACTTGCACATTTTAAGTTATCACGTTCGTGTTCGTGTTTGTAGTTTGTTGTTCATCAATATTCACGTTGGTCAGTCTTTGTTTACATTTTGACATTATTAAGTGAATTGGCATGTCTCCCATTATTGACGTTCACGTTGCATACTCTACTGACGTTTTTGTGAACGAGTGTATAGTTATGTGTTAAGGTATGAAATATTTGATGGAGTAATTTCCATATCATCATAAATTTGTGTTATGCGGGTCGAATAATACACTTACGGGTTGTGGTTTGTGTTGGGTAGATTTGGTTCGTGTTTGAATTTGAATATGTTGCATTGTCTCACACAATGGCACATGCACAAAGTGGCCCATGTACATGTCCTTTAAATGTTGTCACGTTCGTGTTCGAGGTGTGTTACATGGAAATTGACTTATTTCACACTATGACTTTTATTATGACATCGGTTGATAAAATGGCATGTGCCACGTTATGCTAGATGTTGTGTTTTGGGCTGAAAACGTTAGCCCCCATAAACCCACGTTTGTCATTTTTTAATATTTTGTAATGAACCAACAGTGTTGTGGTCTTTTGAATGACAACGCTATTGTGTCATTTGGATTATGTTTACATGATTTATAAGTACATTCATACTAAAGAATGATGTGAATTAAATGGTGTCTACTCAGAAAAGGCATGTTAATCTAACACGAGTGAAGCGTAATGGCATGTGAAAATGTTGTAATTAATTTTGACGTTTATTGAATGAAGTAAAAACAGTTCTTAAGGCATACGTAAAGAATGTTTTGGTCTTGAAATGTTGTATTGTCATCCAATTAGAATGTCAATGTAGGGTGTGGGTATGTGAATGGGTTTGAATTGAATACATGTACAACTACATGTTATCGTACTACATTTTAATATTCACGAAGAACATATTAACTTATATTGTCACATATTGCTATTAATTTACATATTCACATAAGTTATTACTGGCCACTTGTTTGTATACAAAATGTGAAATGTTTGTGGCATGTTTTTTAGGAGGTACAATTAAAGGTACACCACAAAAGGAGTTCAAGGCGAAAGTAAACATCTGTGAAGGGACTACATCTGGTAAAAGACGATGGCATCTAACTCCGTCACGAAATGTGAACG